AAATCTGCAATTGCGAATGAGAAAAAGTCGTAAAATGGATGTCAATGACTTTTACGAGTAACGATTAACACGAGGTTCTAATAATTATCAGTTTGTAGCACCGATGTTATTTTTGTGTGCTATATTCTGTTGCCACTCAACGTGTTTGTGCATTGTGCATGACTACCATAACCATTAAACAAAACGCTCTCATGTGTATTGATGCCAGGCACACCTACCACCTTGAACAAACCCCAATGACGGAGGCGACTAATAGAGTTTATTCAATACGCTGGTACCCAGTGCTTAAACTCAAACACTGTGTGGTATGGCGGTGCATATAGGCTTGTTTGAAATAGATCATTACAAACGAACTGTCGCCAAGCACAGTTACAACTGCATAAACCCTGTCTCAATGAACACAATTATAGCGATTTTTGTTGTTATATCATACACAATATTTGCTGAGAAACACTTTATAAAATAGACCCCCTTTCGAGCAGCAACTTTGTCAGATTGGTAATTAATGGATAACATTTAAATCTTTGTGTCCGTTTCCCTAAATTCGAACTAACCCGTCCTCGAAATTTAACAAGATGGTAACTGACAATTTCCTGTTGTAAGAATCGTGTTAGCAGCAATTACGCCGTAATGTGTTACTTTGTTTTGTTAAATAAATAAAAATAGAAAGAACTGTAACATTGCGATCCAACCGTGTACATCAAAAGTACTTGAATACTTCACTATCATCAAGTATGCGCTCAGGATTAGATTCATTGCATAATATAATCGTGAGTCGGAAATTGAAATATACGTCACTTACCTTTAAAAAAATACAGTCACTATCCGACTTTCAAACAGTTTCTCGAGCTCAACTGCAAGAACAAGTTGTGAGATTTGGGAAAGTCTCTCTATTTTAATAGAAATAGTTGGTAATCAAAATAGTTCATAAAATCAATCCTCGCTCTAGTTGACAGCAATATCGTGTCAAGAAGGGAATAACACACATCGTAAAACTGAGTCGAATAAATAAGTTCGATTAAAATATAATTTCCCAACTAAATGTTAATCTAAGGTGCCGTTACGATAAATATCTTACCGCCCACTGTATATTACATTGAAGATTCATTTGTCTTTGTCTGTAATGAGGCTGTGTGTCTATAATCGATAGTATAATCGGTCATTATTCGAAACACCCCCCCCCCCAAATATAGAGATACTGGACAAAAATCTTCTAATAAGGCACTTAACCTTCTCGTTAATTTAGGTGGAGTCAATTTTAATTTTATAAAACCA